TGCCGGTCAGGCCATGCCGTAACAGACAGAGAGACACCAAGTCACAAGGCGGGGAGAGGGCAGAGGCACCAGGACACAGGACCAGGAAAAGCACTATTCGAGCAAACGCACTGGGTGTTCTGGAAACCGAAAGAATCATCCCGACAAGAAAGGCACCAAAAAAAGCAGCATCTTGCTGCAACTCGGGCATAGCCTGAAAAATAAATGGCATTCCACCGAGTCAGCAGCATCCTAGAACCCTCTATTTTAATTAAAAAAAAAGAGTTAGCCATCATTTCTACCAAAAAAACCCCAAAACGCTTCCAGGTACAGCCTACGTTTGCCACCAGACAGATGAAAGCAAGCAGTCTCACATCTACGTCGTCTGAGTGACAGCTACTCTTAGTTGTGCCAACAGGAGAGACATTCAAATACACTAACGGACATTTATCTTAATACTGATCAGTTCTCAGTGTTTCATCCAGACCACGGTGGAAGCAAGTTTCTTTCTCTGATCGCAGTACTAAATAAATCTTAATGCCTGGCCATTCAAGAGCATCACCTTTCCAAGAATATGATTAAAGCAGCGACATCCCCTTGCTGCACTTGTGTCTCGTGGAAGGGGAATGGTCGCTGGGGCAGGGCACTCTTAGCTGCTGCCCACAGAACTTGCTCCCAGTGAGAAAACAGGAACTTCCAGAGAGGATTCTCTGTCCTTGAGAAGGAACATCTGTCTCCGGAGTGTCTGACAAGCTGGTCATGGAATCAGGCAGAGACCAGAAGAAACTTGGAAGCATTGTGATGATTAAATAAATAAGTCTTCCCCGCAATAGGGAATTTCATAATAAAAACTGTTTTGTGCAAATTTAAATGCAACAGAACCCTGTCGTAGTAAGGGATTTTGCCACAGGAGAGGGGCACGGACGGAGAGAAGAGGGGCCATGCCTAAACACCCAAGTTGATCCCAGCGAGGGGCCTTCAGCATGTGTCCGCAGGCGAGGAGGATGCCGGTACCTAGAACTCCAGGGACAGACGGATGGGAAGAGATGGACACTGCCAGCCTCCCACCCTCACTGCACCTGTGCTGGGCAGTGCCTCCTGTCCAGCTATGCAAGGACAAGCTGAAGGTGTTAAATAAGTCGGTCACCTACGTTCTTCATTATTGCTCTAATAAAAGCAGACTTTCACAGATAGACTTGGGGAAAGCAGATCATTCCCAACATCCAGGGGCACGACTGAGAAGCAAAGAGGACATGGAGCCCACTTACCCTACGGCCTGAGTCAGCCAAACGGGCAGAGGCTGCGCTCTCAGCGGAGACACCTGGGACTCCTGTCACCGCGATTCCATGAGCCATCAATCCTCCTCCCTTTGCCAACAGGAGGTGGCTTCAGAATCAAGCCCCAAGCCACCCTGTTCTGGGAAAGCGCAGAGATAATTCTGCAAAAATAGGGGCAGACATCAACAGTCTGCAGAGCCATAAATCCAGCAGAGAGCCCGTGGCTCCTGGCAGACACTCAGCAAAAGTTGGAGGGGCCACAAACTACACCTTGCTGCCTGGGGCAGAAAATCCCTCCGTCAACACAGACGGGGACAATGCTACTCTGCCACTATACCTGCATCCGCCTCAAACCAAGGAACTGCAGGATGTGATTCCTAAGGGAATGGGCTTTACTAATGTGCACTGTGTCTGCTTTTTCCCACCTGCCAGTCTTTTCCTCCACTCAGCTTTTTTTGGGCTGATTTAATCAGATTTGGTCAAGACAGAAGTTTCCCAGATGCTAAGTTGCCGTAAGTTTCATGGAAATGGGTGGTCAGGCAGGAGCAAGACCCAAACTGGTGCCCACCTGGGGGAAGAGGGGCAAACTTTCCCCCTGCCCCCCCCAGCCAGCTCACCTGCTGCTCCCGACAGCAGGATGGGAGCAGGAGCTGGCACAGGGACATTGGCTTTGCTCTGGGCAACCAGAGTGCCTGTGAATACTGCTGAGAGAGGGTCACAGGAGAGAGCTGGCTTTGTAGGAAGAGCCAGCATTAGCTTCTTGTTAGATTGCTCAGGGAACAGTTTTGCAACTCTACAGTGCTCAAAGCCACGAGGCTGATCTGACAGGCCTAGCACTACTGCTGTATGCAATGTAAAGAGAGGTAGGGACACGATCCTGCTCTGTTTTAGCTCTGGTCCCTCCTGGCCTGCACAATCACCACCTCAGGGAAGTGACAGAGGAGTCGGACCTGTCTACCTGCTGCAGCACGCAGGACGTGGAATTAGCAGTGGGGTGTGAGAATGAGTAGGACACCTTTATAAATAGGAATCAGCTACCAGAAGGGCAGAGTACTCTGTTCACAAGGCGCAGGAACCGAGGAGGGAGCTGCACGGAGCTGCCCAGTGACAGCTGGCAGCTGTGCTTGTGCCTGCTCCAGCCTCTCCTCCCTCACGCGAATCATTCCTGTTTGCAGGACACCTGGCGCTCCTTGGGAACAACACAATTGTGCTTCATGGCTTCCTCAAGTTCACAGCTCACCCAATAACCCTTCTACATGCCACAACAGGAGTCTGGGAAGCAAAACTGTGAGTAAGGTGTAAGGCAAGCCTAAGAGAAGAGCACACAGCTAAGCCTTGAACGGAGCTGTGGGGAAAAGCAAGCTGCTGTTACGACAATGGAGACATCTACGAGTTATCCCTGCAGACAAAGCAGTGGAGAAAACTTTGCTCCAGTGCTGACAGACGTTTGTCAGTAGAAGTGCACAGAGATACTTCTCCAAGAAAAGCTTTGTCTCAAAGCCACAAAATTAAACATTCTCCTTTAGCATTTAAATACATTAACTTTCTGAGGGTATTTACAAGTCCAGTTCAGAGCAGCAGAACAGCTAAACACCGGAGGAAGGGGAAGTGGCACAAGGCGTTTGTTGTGCTTTTCCAAAGAGCAGGGCAACCTCTGACCGCAGGGAACCAGGAAGACAGATCCCGAGCTGGGTCAGTGGAGACTGAGGCGAGCCAGGCAGCCACTCTCACATGCCGAGTTTGTCCTGAGGGAAGGGGTGAGGGGGTGCTGTCCGTTTACAGTAGGCCCCTGGGCAAGCGCGCATGCTGGTGAACAGGTTACATCCAAGCCGGTGTCGCGCACGAGCTGTCAGAGACCAGAACACTGGGGAGCAAGGGACCTTCACCATCAGATGCTCTCCTTTCGACATCCAACGTCCAGAACCAGTGGGGACTGCTGCAAGGAAGTTTCTCGGGTGGGATGCTGCAGGAGTGCTCGCTAGCTGGGGACAGAGGTTAGCACAGCTGTCAGCCTGGGGAAAGCTTCCTGCATCCCCGCTGAAGTGAGCAGCTGCAGCAGGGGAGTCTCCCAGCACTGGCAAGGGCATCCGTGCAAGGCCGAGGACTCCACAGACACGGTGCTCAGTGTTGTTGCCTGGCTCTTCAACAACGTTGTTTGGAAACTTGGCACGTTCACGTCACATCTGTAGGAAGGAGCTGTGTGGTCCCCCTGACAGTCTGCCAGAGGAAAACCAAAGTTTGTGGGTTTTTTGTTTTGTTTTGCTTTTATAAAGAAAAAGCTGTAAAAAAATATTCTCTGAGATGCAAGGACGCTTGTACTTTGTACTGCCTTGGCCATCCCTGTTCATGTCACCCGCTGGTTCCCTGGAGAGTCTGGTTCCAATGGCAGCAGGACACCCTGTGTATCGCTAGGACAAGCACTGTCCCCGTTCAGCTAGGGGAGAGCAGTCTGTCTGCGCCTGTCACAAATCCGTGACTTTATTCTCCACAGCTGCTGCAATCTGTTGTAGTCTATATCCGAGCTGCATCTTCTGTGCCGTTGGGTCTTCTTCCAAGGCAGTAATGATCTGCAACAAGACAGAGCTCACTGGCGGCCTTTCTCCAGCGCACAACACTGTCAACGAGCTCAACTCCGTGCATAGTGGAGAGCCCCAGGCTGGAATCCAGCATGCTCAAGACTAGAGTGGGTATGTAGTAATTCATCTCAAATTAACCACGAAAGTATTCTAGATTCATATTAATAACTTATAAACTTCATAGTGCAAAAAGAATGTCTCACCTGAAAATATCTTTAGTAAATGAATCTGAACTAACTCCCTTTCATTTTTCAGTATTTGGATATTGGAGTAAAAAAAAAAAACCACACACATGAAATCCCAACAGCCTCCAAGTTAGAGATAAGTCCTTTTTGTGATTTCCTCCTTCCCTCTCTGATAAGAAGAAAGCAAACTTATAACATGGAAGTTACGCACGCCAGTGAAACAATACACAGTGTTGTAATAGTCCAGCTGCTCTTAATCATTAATTTTTGGAGGTTTTTTGGTTGGATGGTAAAACGAGAAGGGCATGTTTGTACCTGCTACACACTCACCTGGTCATAGTACTTATTGATGTATTTGTACAATTCATGTAGAGCCACCAGGGAATTGAGGTCACCTGAGTAATTCTGAATATGAGAGAGGAAGTTAGACAAAACTGTGAGACACCTAATAATTGTTCTTCTAAATTCTGCGTCCTCACAACTCATTAGGAAATGTGCCTGTTGCACAAAGCAACAGGAAAGGGAATTCACCAGTAGTTCCTAGCAAAGGAAAAAGTCACAGATATTCCTTGGCCCGAGTCCTTGACTACACTTCTCTCTTCAGCGCTAGCTGGGCAGACCCTCACCCTGCTTGTGGTGCCAACAAAGCAGAGCAGCCACTGGGAACAGTCAGTATGTCTGAGCAGAACTGCACACTCAGCTGGAATATCTCATCTTTGCATTACCAACTTTCTCTTAGATGCACAGGTGAGGGGCCAGGTTGACTTCTGAAATAATTTTATTTACCCGTGATAGCTCAGCCAGGGCAGAGTTCATCTCCTGGTCACTGGCAGAGATGGTCTGACGAATGTCCGCATAATACCTATACAGTGGTACACAAGCAATTAGCGTATTGCTCCTCCTAGCCTCCTTCTTACTGCTTAAACTACGACTCTTCACATTCATTGCTTACCTTTCCACCATCTGCTTGTAGCGAGGAATGTCCCGGGCATAAAGCAGCTTATTGATTGGAGAGTCCTTGAACATCCAAAATCAGAATTGATTACAAAAAGCTCCTTCATCATGCTGTGGACTAACCTTAGCTGGTAACACCATCACCGCTATTTTCTGTCATTCATTCGGGATGGGGATTTTTATTTTTTTTTTCTTTTTTGTCCTCTGCATGGAGAGGCACTTCAAGTAGCAGGCTCCCTTCTAGCAATGCAGTCTGAGGAACCACAAGATGTGTTGGTGAAGGGACCTCTGGGATCCCTAGTCCAGTCTTCCACTTGGAGCTGGGTGATCACCAGTATGAGATCACACTGGCTATGGCTTTGCATAGCTGATTCCTGAAATCCTCCAGAGATCCACCCATCCCATCTCTGGTGACCTGTGCAGGACTTCCACCCTCAGCACAGGGTGAGTAGTGGTGCTAAAAAGTTCTTCTAATGGCCAACCTGAATCTCCCAAGATGCATCCTGCGACTTACACTGTCTGCCACAGCCAACTAGAGTTTACCTCTGTCCCCCAAGTACCTGCAAGCTGTAAATAAAGAGCACCCCTCAACAACTTCTTCTGTATGCTAAATAAAATCAGCTCCTGCCTCCTCTCTTCCCAGGAGTCCCCATCTCTCTCCAGTGGAACATGGGAGCAAGGATAGGCCTGGCCTGCTGTCCCAGTGGTGCCCATAAACATCATTGCCTTCCTGGGGCAGCACTGCTCAACTGTCTGTGGCAACCATGCTCCCTTCTCCCTATGTACTTACCCGCCCTAACTTATGGTCAGCTATTGTACAGGAGTCCATGAAGGTCTGCGCAATGACCAGGAGCACAGCATCCACGTTATCTGACGTCTGCACGTCAAAAACAAACTGGGGATTCTTGATGATGTTGATCCAGAACCGTAGGGGCAGGCTGCAAAGAAGACAGAAGTGCAACAAGGTGTCAGCAATGGTAGCAGCTACAGTACTGAAAGATGTTCTCCACATTACTGCATCTCTCAGCTTTGTTCTCCCAGCAAAACCAGCTTTTCACATGACGCTCTGCTGCCTTGCACTCCCATTTTGCTCCTGCTCAGCAGGGAAAGGTGGCTGTCACTTTGTAAGTCATCAGCTCTAGACAGCTTAGCAGTGCCTCCTCTGGGGCCCATGGGAACACTGTACCTGTTTGTCTTCCAGATATGGATGGTCTCAGGGTCCGTGATCCCATAGTGTATTGCCTGCTCATCCAACAGGTCAAAGAAGTATTTGACAGCCAGAGGGACAGGGCGGTTGGTACTGAGGATCACCTGGAACAAGTCATCCACAAATTTCTGCAGAGTGCCCTGTGGAGAACCGAGGACAGAGTCAGCACAGGCAGAGAGTGGAGAGCTCAGGCCTGACGCAGTTGAGAGGTTACCCTCTTCTGCTCAGTAGCCTCCCCTCACTGGTCCAAAGCCACCTCCCCTCCACTGCAGTGAGCAGCAGCAAAGGAGAAAGGAGGCCCCAGTGGGTTCTGGAACAGAGGCCAGGGAGAACCTCATGAACAAAGCAAAATGCAGAGGGGAGTCAGATGCACTCAGAGCCAAAGGGGATCGTTACAGGGGAGAGGGCTTTCAACATGATGGAACAGGACTGAAACGTAGGGAGTGCCTAGTGGAGAGGGACTGCTGGCTGCCAGCAGCTCTATTCAGCTGGACAGGAACAAGAAGGGGTTTGCTCAGCAGCAAAAGGAAGTTCAGTAAATGTGGGAAGAGCACAGGCGCTGCCTGGCAAAGTGCCTGGGCTGTCTCTTGAGGAATGGTACTACTGCAAGCTGGGCAGTGCTGGGGAACCTGAATGCCAAAAGCTGGTCCCTCTGCTCTGTTCTCAAGAAAGGATAAGTTCCTGGGTCAATTTTTTTAACAATGACATTGGAATTAAGCAAAAAGGAGAATGTGAGCAGGCGCTATGCCTGATTTATGACTACAGCTGAATCTGTACATGGCTGGTGTGTACTATTAACATCATCGTGCTGCAGCAGGTAGCAGGTCAGTCGTATTTTCTTGGCCCTGGGTGGGGTGGAAGGTGAACAGACACGGCAGCCTAGTGCTGCTACCAAAGAAACTTTGCTGCAAAGCACAGGGTACCTGCTTTTTTCTGTGGGATGCACAAAAACCAAACATGGGTGGACACAGGGATAAAACCATTTCTCAGTCTCCTAGAGGCTCTGCAAAACTTAACCCATTAGTAGAATTTTGGTACTGCAGTGCTGGGATCGGAGGGGAAACAACCAGCATGTGCATCAACCAAGGCAAAGGGGCTCTTCATCTTCATACACATCCCTGCAATCTGCCAGGGGATATGAAGGCAGGCAAGATCCCAAGCACAACACAATCTGTGCTGCTTCTCACCTTCATTGAGAGTAGACGTGTCAGATAGATCTCTGGGATTGCCTTGGCTCGCTCCCGATCTCTTAAGCTCCCACGCCGATGCTTGGGCAGTTCTGGCTCTTCTGTTGGTTTTACCAGGTGCCAAAGTTTGATCCCACCTTCATCTGCATCCTCCAGCATCGGTGTTTCTGAAACAAGCAATTGTTTACAGATGACTGTCAGTTCTCTCACAGTAGAACTTGGCTAGGTAAGGCCCAAGGAAGCAAGATTTCACAGTATGATAGAGACACAAATGGGAAGGAACCTCTGGAGGCCTCTACCCAGCCTTCTGCACAGAGTACAACTGTTGCTAGCACTAGAACGGGTTGCCTTTGTCTGCCCAAAACCTTCAACGTCTCAGAAACCTCCCCAGACAGAGATCCATCACCACCACCCCAGTGGTCTGTTCCACGGCCGCACCACTCTTCTGCTGAAGGAGATTTTTTTCCCATGTCCAGTCTGAACCTGTAAAGCTGCAGCCTGTGGCTATTGCCCCTTGCACCACAGGAGTATCCATGGAGCCATTTGCTCTGCCAGGCAGCAGGGTAACTGCCTGGTGTCCCGTCACCACTCTCGGCCCACGCTCAGCACCTGAGAGTATTCAGATTCCTACAAGTTGCAGACTGTGCTCAGCCCTAGAGAGTCAGAACTAGAGAACTCTGCTTATCCTGCATTTTCATGCCCAGCCTGGCTTTCATAGAATCATAGAATCATTATGGTTGGAAGAGACCTCAAAGATCATCAAGTCCAACCGTATACCTGATGCCACCATGTCCACTAAACCATGTCTTGAAGTGCCACATCTAAACGTTTTTTGAACATCTCCAGGGACGATGACTCCACCACCTCCCTGGGGAGCCCATTCCAATGCCTAACAACTCTAACGGTGAAGAAGTTCTTTCTAATGTCAAGCCTGAACCTCCTCTGGCGCAACTTGAGACCATTTCCTCTCGTCCTATTGCTAATTACCGGGGAGAAGAGCCCAATCCCCACCTCGCTACAACCTCCTTTCAGGTAGTTGTAGAGGGCGATCAGGTCTCCCCTCAGCCTCCTCTTCTCCAGACTAAACAACCCCAGCTCCCTCAGCCGCTCCTCATAAGGCTTTTTCTCCAGGCCCTTCACCAGCCTTGTTGCCCTTACACTCTTTTGCTTTCCTCTGCTCTTACACTCTTTTGCTTTTCTCTCATCTCACCTGCCCAAGCCTTCCATTTCCAGACAATCCTATGAGGGTCCAAATCATGTATCAGCCTCCTATAGCAACATAAAGCTGGAGATGTGGCAAGAGACTTGTCCCACTAACTGGCAAGTGCTATAAAATCATTTTATGAGAACAGGACATCAAACTCACTCTCTCCTGGGATGTAATCCTGATTCTCCCTATGGATATGCTTGGTCAGGCGTGGGACCAGTGCTACTGTTGCTCCATCGGGCACCTGCACGCAAGCAAAAAAAAATTAAAAAAAACTCAATTCAAAACAAATGGCATGTTTCTCATCAGCACAACAGGCAAGTGCTCGTAGACCCGAACATACTATACCATTACTAGAAATAGGGGCAGAAACAGGGAATTTTGGGCACCATCACTCTCTTTCCTGATTGTGGGAGAATCTTGTTTGTATCATTGAAAAACTGATGTGCAAAGTACAACAAAGATGATAATACCCAGGGACTGAGGTCATTCACATCTAGAACGCGTTGCAGCAAGGGATAACATTGGTGCAAGATATGACACATTGGTGCAAGGTAGTTAAAAAACCCAAACTCCTCTTTCCATTCCTAGAAGCTACTTCACAGATCAGTGCGCCATCACCTACTAACCGATTTGGACTGGAACATTAACAGATCCAGCAGCATCGCCTTCATTGCAACAGCCACCAGGCATGAACTTGTGCATCTCCTTCCAAGAACTACACCTGCCCGCATCTCAGGCACAGGTTAAGGATGGGACTATGCTTGTTGAATTCACAGTGCAGGCCACAGCACTGACTAAATCTGAATATGCTGCTGCAAGAATGCTCCAACCTTTTGACAGTGATCCACCAGGAGCCAGAGCCACAAATAGACTATCACAGTGTGTAGAAGTAAGAGACAAGGCAACGGTAGACTGAGGTCTGACCTTGTAATGCTGAAGAGTGTTCAGGCGTTTCCAAGTTCCTTGAACAACAGATGTCACATCCTCATCGGACAGTATCAGATGACCTGCCAGCCCTGATCTCCACTCTACAGCCATTGAAACACAGAAAATGGAAAGATAAACTGTTAATTTGAGGCGTCTCTGAAGTCTGCTGTGCTTCAACCTGGTTGACCTCGTTACATGCCCACCGATCCTCATCAGCCTTTACCCATGCTATTTCATAGATAACATAACCTGAGGAAATGCCTGTAACAATGCTGAGTCCTACAGTCACAGGACAGTCTCTCTGAGCACAGGGACAGGTGGCCCCACGGCCTCCCAAGTTCCACTCACCAAGTTCCTACAAATTCTGTCAGGTTGTGACTCTTCAAGCGGGTGATTCAAACCCATATGCACCCATAGTCCTTATTAGCTACTATTCCCCCAGTACCTGCTCATCTATAAATGTTACCACTATTCAGCAGCAGCCAAAGAATGAACAAGATGGAAAACTGAGTGGTTTCCCTCACAATGTAAGTTCTAGCTTTCATTAACCACCGTGGGCAAAATCCTCCCTGACATACATTACTGAGATGCTGCCATTCACTTCACTGGCAGGAAGAGCCAGTCTATGACTATAGCATCTCCGTGCCGCACTCAAATCATCCTTCCCTCCTACACATTCTCCATACCTCCCCCCCCACCCCCCCCGTGTCCCCCCTTGCCCAAGCCATTGCCACAGTCCAACTCTGGCAGAGAACACCATGAAATGGAAGGGGCTGGACCCAACTGCTTCTTTCCCACCCCTGCCTCTTGCTGTTAGCCTCTTTCCTGCATCATGCCCTGTTGGGTCCAGCCAGAGTGCAAGATTCTTCATCAGTGACTCTGCACATAGAATCACAGAACCGTTTAGGTTGGAAAAGACCCTTAAGATCGTCGAGTCCAATCATTCAGCAGAGAACGACAAACGTCAGTCACGCCAGGGTGCTGTGCACAGATAGCAAATGACCACTCTCCCACTTCCTCACGGGGTTTTGGCACCAAGGAGTTCTGCTCACCAAGGTCCAGGGTGTCTGGGTCTGGTCGGTGACAGTATGGCGTCCCTTTATAGATCTGATCTAGGATTTTTTCCTTCACCTGCGTTATGGTGTCACAGTCTAGCACTTTCGCAGAAATCCCTTGGGTGTCCTCTGCCCCTCCTGCAGCAACTCCTGCTTGCGTCAAAGCATTTAAGGTCTGGGGAAGAAAAGAAAAGGTCACAGCTACTCAGCTGATAAGATTACGTCTGACACATTTACACCTTTGATGGTTGGGCATTAAGGCAAGTTAACAGCTGGTCCTTTCACTGGAAGAGTTTCAGAAAAGAAAACATCACAGATGTTCAACACTGTTCTCAGTCTTGTGTCAAGAGGTGGAAGCCAGTTCAACAGCATTGGGGAGGGGCTTCGATGTCCCATCAGCAATTTCATCCCCTTATTTCTAGACACAGAGCACAGCACATACACCAGATTACTGTGGTGATGGCTCCTATCAGCCTAGGGCAAAAGTGCCTGATTTAGCAGAGCTCTTGCTCGCCTATGGAGTTGTGCTGCTGGGATAAACTTGGCTCCCAGGAAACAGTAGCAAGATGCTGCACTTCTGCCTCAATAATGGGAGCAGAGACATTCAGCACCAGAGAGCCCAGAGGAAACAAAAGATGTGGTGCTTACCAGAGTCCGGTACTCCAGGTCCTCTCTCAAAAGGCGGTTGTCATTCAGGGTATATTTGGCTTTCCCTGTCACCCAGTCGACTGGCCCTTTGTCCACCTGGTGCTTGATTCCTCGAAACAGCATGTAAAGGGGCTCCCCAACAGAATCCTGGCAGAGAAAGGGAAGAGTTTCACCTGAGAGAATTCAGTTTGCTCCTCCCAGCAGAGCCCAACAGCTTGGAAACATGGACACCCAAGCAGAGGAGGAGCAGAACTGAGGATACAGCAGCTAAGCCACAGCAGGCAACGACAGAGCCTCTGCTGACAGCTCCTGCCCCACACACAGGGAAAGTGCAGGGGTCACCTACCAGGGGGATGCAGAACACCAAGGCATTGCTCTGCCTCCGCGTCACTAATCTGAGAGGCTCTCCTTGCCACCCCCTCTCCAGGGAAGGAATTAGATCAGAATCGGTCCTCCCCACACACAGACTAGCCTATGGCCAGCCTGCCTCAAGATAAAGGAGCTACACTGAGCCCTCCATGATCTGGAGAGACATCCTGGAAATGATGAGTGGTATTAATGCCACTTTAAGCGTCCCTGTCCCCAGTGAACAGCCCAGGTCTCTCATTCCCCACTCTGAAATACAGGACGACTATTTCAGCTACAAGCAAGGCACAAAGCAAAGCTGTGGCTGTCTCCCCTCTTTTGGGCCCTCTACACCACAAAGGGACAAAATGCTCACCCTCACAAATGCATACAGGCAGATGGACATCCAGTTAGTTAACAGCTTCTCTACCACTGTTTCTGTCCTGAAAGAGAACATGAGGTTGGTCAGAGGAATACAGTACAGAGCAGGGAGGGGTTTGGAGAAAAAGATCACTCCTGTTGAGAAAAGAGCACACTAAATGATAATACAGGATTCAAGGGAAAGGAAGGAGAAGGGAAAAAAGAAAAAAAAAAGACTTTAGAGACCACTAAGGTTAATGCTTTTAATACCGCTTGAGTCACTTTTCAGCCTGAAGGAGGCACCAAATTACAGAAGTGGAGAGACAAGCAAGCAGGGGACAGAGGAAAGCCTCTGGTAGGTCTCAAACAAGGGAAATTTGTTCAGATCAGAAGGACGGACCAGACAGGAGGCTAATGGGGATCCAAACACAGGAGATATTTCGGTTTGGCTTCCAAACACTGCGTGACTGCAAGCCCAGGGATCTCTAAACAGCAAAGTGAGATTAGCAGACTTGGCAGAGCCCTAGTACATGAACACAAGTAGAGAGTTAACATACAGCAGCTTCAAAAGAAGAGGAATTTGGGGTAGGCAACTCCAGCTTCCTCCTCTTTTCACACCTTTCCTGCTATATTCCCTGCCAATTGCTGACTGGAGAGAGGGGTATCATTGTTACTGCTTCCTCCTGTTTGATGCATGTTGTCTGGACACACACTGGTCTTACAGCTGCAGCCCATGCCATGAAGCTATCCTGCTCACAGGAATTTCACAGCTTGCCAGCTGGGCAGAAAGGCTCCGTCCCCTCGGGTAGCTAGCAGTGGGACCATGGCTGGCTCACTCACCTCCGCAGCATCAGCTTGGGGTTCTTGGCCACATACTGCTCTACAAGGTCATTCAGGAGTGTTTTGAGGATGTCAGTGAAGTACTCCAGCTTCCCATGCAGTGACACAGTGAGCAACGATGCCACATAAGCCCGGTCTCTTGGAGAGAAAGTGCGCTGGATTTCCAGAGTGTGGATGAACTGGTGGGGAGAGAAATAAACCAGCGTGTGAATGTGCTGAAAATAAGGCAGTCACAGCTACTGGCTCTTGGAAGAAGTGCTGCAGGGAGCTGTTCAGGAATGAACTTTAACAGACACTGCCTGCTTCCTGCCACCAGCTGCCAGTGACGTGTCCCTGACCCCACAGCAGGCTGCAAGCAGAGAGAGAGGGACATTACCTTGGTGAGGAAGAGCTTGCTGTTGAGCAGGTTGGAGAGCTGGACCAAGCCCTGCTCCACAGTTTGCCGCCGGCATTCAGGGATGTCCAGGTCCCTTTGCAGTGGTGACTCACGGTGGCCCGGGAAGAAAATGCGCTCTGCATAGGACTTGTAGTCCAAGAAGGGTATGCCTGTGCCCACAAGGTCACTTGTGAGGTCCATCATCTCAGTCATCAGGTCTGAGGGAATGGAAATGCCCATGAGGTTGATGACATGATCACACAACTGATGGTGCAAAGCATGAGATGGGTGCAGAAACTAGGGCCAGCAGGATGTGACTGAGGAAGAGGAAGGATGTTTCCTGTCAAGAAGAGGCACATTGGGGTCCTACTGCTAGAACATTTAAAACTAGACTAGACACTGGGAGAAACTGCATGAGGAAACTTCCAGCTTTAAGGCACAACCAAAAGGTGAATCTGGTGATTATTCTCATTCAGTCGGGGACTGGCTTCCAGTTTTATAAAGAGGAAGCCACTGTTCAGCACAGACCTGTGGTTACAGGCATTACCTACATTAGAGATAGAGTATTAGAGATCTCCTGCTCCTCACTGCTTCCCACATTAGTTGGAGATTACAGTTCAAGTCACCCTCACAGTTTCAGAACCCCAGGTCTCCCACACAAGGGCTTACTGCTGTAAGCAGCTGAAGTACAAGGTTTGCGGGCCCAGAACATGGGGTGTAATTCAACTTGCCCTACACAAAGACTGGGCTAGCTGTCCTTAAGATCTCTCCAAGTGTTCTGTCTTCACCTTTAGCTCTCCATCTGACTCTGGAGGATGAATTGGAGAATGAGAGGGGTCCGTACAGATCACTGTGCTCTGAATTAAAGAGAAGAATTAAAAATGGAAGAACTTGGCTGTATGTTTCAATGTGCCAGCACAGCACAAAGTTATTGTCTTCTCTGTTGTACCCAAACAAGTATGCAGGAATGGAAAGAGAGGTAGGGCTGAGAGTAGTTCTTCAAGTTTCCCTGAAGCTGCAAGAACCTAGAAACTCAGTGACTGACCTGTGAATTCTTTTTTGCATCTGTCCCGAACACTTGTTTCCAGATTTTCCAGCTGGATTTGAACTTTCTTGTAATCCCTCAAAGCCTGTTTGCTCTTCCTCCTGCAATAAGAAGCAGAATTGCTCTGGGGAAATTGTCTAGCCCTAGCCCAGGAATTGTCCTTGCCAACTGTTGTGTTGCTGCCAAGGATGCCAGGGCAATTGGTAGCGAGGTGATTTCTACTGATTGTCATCTTTGCAGGATACCAAACAGTGTTCTATAAACTAGATGTGTCTCCTGGAGTACCCATTAGGTATGGGCTCTGAATGAACCATTGTGCAGGCTGTGACCAGCAGATGCAACGTGCCTCACACATCTAACACCACCAGGGGCTCAGAATTGGCGCAAAATAAAGAAAATTGAGACCTTGTTTAGACCCAGGATGTACACGCTTGGCCATATCCACTGAGGAACGCTGCAGAGGAACTTAAAGACCTCATACAATGCCAGAGTTTCTTACCTGTATATGAAGACAATGACCAGAACAATCAGTGCCACAAAGGATGCACCAACACCCAAGCCAATCTGTGCCTCCAGCGGGAAGGTGAGCTGGCTTTCTGTGTCATACTGCACTCGGCCCAGGAGGAAGTTCAGGTTTCCCATCTGTACCTGTAAGAAAGCATGTGCCACAACATAAGCTCAGTGCAGCGATGAAATCCAAAGCCACAGGGCTCTTCCACAATGTGTACAGGTAGCATACAACTCTCTAGCAAATCTGTCCCAGAGCACAACTCCTGAATCCTATACCATTTGCTTCAGGCAATGTTTGGCACATAAGAGTAGAGTTGAGAACAAGAGCTGGTCCTTGCCACCCCTGGTACCTCCCTTGTCCCCCACTAGAGCTTCTGCCTCTCCTTCACTTCCCATCCCACTCCCTGCCTCCACCACTTCTTGCTTGTGCTTTAACAAACGACAGAATTTCTTGTGGTTCTGCTGATTCCCTACCGTGAACTCTGGGAGCAAGTCTGTGCCCTCCCGCTTTGTGCGGTGCCGCGGAGCTGGCTGCTCAGAGGGAGGCTCACAGTAGAGATGATTCCTTGTTAGTGTCTTCACCACACAGATACCTTCCCCAATCATAGCCATAACTTCATCCTTGGAAATAGCCAGATCTAGATTTTCCCCCTGGAACAGATGTGGAACAGCACATCAAATCAGGATGAAAAACAACTCTGCATTCCATGACTCCAGAGGAGATGAAGGAGACCAACACTGTAGGATGAAAGCAGCCTTTTTCCTTCTCTGACTGGACTCGCATCTGAATTCGTCGCAGAAGTTCATTTTCTAAGCTAAAAAATTCACTTGCATATTATTTAGATTATAGCTTTATGCAGCATGGTACAGGTCCTAAATACAGTTATAAATAACCTGTCTTCTTAAGGCTCTTCAACCACAGCACGACTAAGCTCAACTCTTCAGTCTGTGTGTATATGCATATACACACACACATAATGTGTATATATTTGAAGAGGCAGTAGTCCCATGTCAGTTAACCTAAGCATTCAGCCAAGTCAATCGATGCCTTTCAAAGGTGTAACACATTTATGTTATCTGCTACAAAGATCTGCTTTAATTTTGGGGGATTAAGACTTTTTTTTATTCATAGAATCATTATGGTTGGAAGAGACCTCAAAGATCATCAAGTCCAACTGTATACTTGATGCCACCATGCCGTCTAAACCCACTGAACCATGTCTCAAAGCACCACATCTAAACATTTTTTGAACACCTCCAGGGATGGTGACTCCACCACCTCCCTGGGGAGCCCGTTCCAATGCTTAAGTACTCTAACAATGAAGAAGTTCTTTCTCATGTCCAGCCTG